GGTAATACTTTTTCTACAATACTTTAATTATATTATTAATTTTAGAATATAAATTGTTAAAAAAAATTCTACGGGAAATCAAAGCACAAATTATACACAAAAATTCTCTTTAAAAATGCAGTTACCATGGGTACTGTTTATAATTTTGCTGAAGATATTTTACATACAATTCGATTACACCTTGGCATATTATGAGTTTTTGTAGACATTTTCACTAATAATGATGCTAAGTTACTAATACTCTTTAACAAAGATATTGTATTGGTTAAAGATGCAGAGGGGACTTTTGTTGTGTGGCCTCTATATCTCATTGAGTCATTTGACAAGGTAATTATATAATTCAAACTTCTTTATAATTTGTTACATGTGATTATAATTTGATGACTTAGTTTTTTTAATATTATTTTTACAGATTCAATCAAAATGAAAGAATAAAAAAATAATTTAATTGCATGGTAATATTTCCAAGGAATCAAATACCATGCATAAGCAAAAAAGTATATCTCATAGAGATTCAAAAATGAAAAGGCAGGCTAATAATTGTCGTGAAGCTCTTTGGTCTCTTTTACCAAAGCTTACTGCTAATGACCAAACAATTGAAATAAAATTTGAAGAAGAAATCTATTGTAAAGATAGTTGGGAATGTCGATAGAAATACCATCATGAAAATACTTAATTGAGAATGGGCCAGTGCTTATACTATCAACACTTGGATAAAGTACTTATTTTATAATATCCTTTGATATTGATCATTTTTATCATTTTTTATGATTGGTCTTAATACAAGTTTTTGTATTTATCAAGGTATTTGTACATTTATTTTTTGAAAGACACGAAGAAAATGAAAAAGATTTGCATTTATTAGTTCTCATGATATTAGTCATGATTTGACATTGGGTTCATCTGAACAAGTAAATCTCGTAAAAAATATGTTCATAGAGAAGGCAAAAGTTGGAAAACATATGTTATTTTTAATACCTTACAATGTAGGTTAAATTAGTTTATTGATTATTTTTTTTTCTTTTGTGTATGATACCTCAATTTTATTAAGACATAATAAAATTTTAAATTTTTTTAGAAAACATTGAATTTTGATTGTTATCAATCCTATGGTTGTTCTTTTGCCTTTAATATATTATTTGGATCCTCTATTTGAAGGTATGCTAATAGATTGGCCTAATATGTTGAGGTTATTCAATAAGTAAATATTTATACTTATAAGAATTATTTTGCACATTTTTATATATATATTTGCATCAATTAATATTGATTAATTTTTTCTATTTTATTAGGGAATTGAATAGTTTTTGAGGTCACAAAGAGCTCCCCTTTTTAGAAATAAAGAATTCTCTAAAAGTTGTTAATGGACAAAAATCATGGTATAAATTTTACTTCAAAGAATTATTAAAGTATTGAACATATATTTATTTCATTCATAAATTTATATTATATTTTGGTGAATTTTTTAATGCCCTTTCTAACTAAATAACAATGGTTGTGGTTACTATATTATGAAATTCATGAAAGACATGATCACTCATAGTTAAACTTCTATCCCATTTGAGGTATGAAATTTAACTCAATTTGGATTCTATCATTTTTAGTTGCTTATGACATCATTTTTAAATATATTTTGTAGTACTATAAGGATACAAAGTACTTGGAATATAGTGATGAGCAAATTTATGATCAAATTAGAGAATGGTCATCTTTTGTTTTGAACTTAGGATGCTAGAACATAGGTAATTATGAAATAGTTTATTAATATAGAAACTTTTAAAAATTTTCATTACATGTCTTCAACCTCCTTGGAGAACTTAGCTATATCAATGTAGTTGTAGACTTCTTTGTTGTATTACAAAGCTATGTTTCTTTTTATTGTATAATTAAATTGTTTGTAAACTATTGAATTGGTTGATATATATTATTTGATCTTTTGTATTGGTTTAAAAGTTAGGTTTACAAAATTTAAGAAAATTTATTTTAAAAAAATGATATTAGGTGGCATTTCTTCAAGGAAGAAATGCCACCTAAGCTTATATTTAAAAAAAACAAAGAGGAAGAAATGCCACCTCTTTGAATTTAAGTTTTTTAATTAAAACTCAATTTTTTTAAAAAATATCCGGAGTTGTAAGCCCTTAAAAAAATCCGCCATTGTGTCATGAATTAAAAAATATATATAGTAAATAGGTGGCATTTTCAGACCTACAAACACTACCTATTTCACTTTTTTATTTCAAAAAAAAGTAATAGAGGTGGTGTTTGTTCAAGGAAAAAATGCTACCTCTGTTAAGCTGAAATTTGAGAGAGGTGGCATTTGTTCAAGAAAGAAACGCCACCTCTCTGATTTAAAAAAAATGATCTAATAGAGGTGGTATTTGGAAAACGAAACGCCCTCAGTTTCACATCGATCTTGTGGCATTTCACTAATTAATGAAACACCATGAGATACCTATTATAACTTTGAAATTTATAGCATTCATTAAATGCCACCAAATTGAAATTTCAAACGCCACTAATATCCATTTTTGTAGTAGTGGGGTAGGATACTTATATTCACAGTGCTCAACCTAGAAGTCATTCTACATACTTGAAGACACTTTGAGAGCTTTGTTGTGCTAGGGTTTGAGCTCTGAATGAGTTGGGTCCAAGAGTTGAAGCTTTGAATAGATTTGAAGCTCCATTTCTTTTCTTGTAATCTTGTAATGGCTATGAATATTTCATGTATTTATAGCTTTTTAATGTTTTTGAGTAGCTAAACTCTTTACTCTAGGATTATTTTGAACTCTTATATGGATTAATACTAAGTTCCTCCTCTATTTTTGCAATTAATGATATATATGTGTTTATTTTACTCTTTTCTTAATGCTTCTAAGTGATTGGCCACCATTTAAATGTTGGATTCACTTAATTGATGCTTAAGAGAGCTAAGTTGAGTATAGAACTTGGGTAAAATAGTACAAGAACTTTATATTTGCTTATTAAATGGATGGTTTTGCTAGTAAGATAGAGATATACTTGTTAGCCTTACATAACCACATTAGGGTTAGTGTTTAAAATTGAGTTTTATTAATTGTAATAAGAGATTGGGCAATTAATTTAACTAAACACTTGTTTATGATTTGAAAGAGCTTATCCGAGTATTTTTAGAACCCTAAGTTAGCACTTATTTTCATTAAAAGTACTTATGAGATGGGGTAATTTTGGTGTTATGAAATGTAAGGAGGATAAATAATTTTAGGTCCTAATTTGTGTTTGAATTATGTGAATCAATTTCTTTTCTTTATTTATTAGTGTCAATTTAGTTTGCTAAATCAACCTTCACCTAGTTATGTTTTGGCTCAACTTGATTTAATTTAGTCTTTTGTTTGATCACTATTTTTAAACAAATCTTCAAAGGAACGATACTTTACTCTTATTTTATTATTTGCTATGACCCATGCACTTGCAGTGAACAACAGAAAACACTACCATAGAATATCCCCATACTTGATGCATATTTTTGTTAATACTTGATGGTTTTTAATGATCAAGTAATAGTATGGCATATATTACAACCAACTTATACTTGATGGTTAAACAAGTGTTCTCCACCTATTTTATTTGTTGCACCATCAAATATAGAGCGTCTTATTTGAATAATCTTATGATAGTGAAAAGTAAAGCTCAGCGGATGGAATAGACACCATGTATATACCAAGCCAAGCATCAAATGTGCAATGTGTCAAGTAATCTACAATGCCGTTTATGTCTTACAACATCTATACAACTTTAACATTTTATTGCTATTTATGTATAAATGTGTAAGTAAGTACTTATGTATAACTTAGCTTGGTTATAATCTAAAGAAATTTTTTAGAAATAATTCATATAAAATTATAAAAAAATAATTCATTTGTAATTTATATGTAACTTAGCTTGAATATGTATACTAGCTTAATAAGATCATTATTAAAAAATAATCCATGAGAAATTTTTAAAAATGTAATTATTAAAATAAGATCATTATTACAACACTAGCTTAACAAGGTCATTATTTTTAAAAGTAATCATTATTGATCTTATATACAATTTATTTCTTATTTTATATATAGCAACAAATTTTGCCACTAAAAGTAATTATGTAAATTAATTCTTATAAAATTATTTTTAATTTTTTAATTATTTTTATGAAAATACTTGTTAAAAGTAATTACATAATTTTTTTATTTTTTAATTATTTTTTTAAGAAAATACTTTTGAAAGCAATACTTTTTCATGGTGAAAAGTAATCACATAAATTATTTTTAATTTCTTAATTTTTTTATGAAAATGATTAAAGTAATAACATAAATTATTTTTTATAAAAAATATTTTTGGTGGCGACAATTTGTCACAGCTAAAATAATTACATAAAATCATTTTAAATTTTTTAATTTTTTTTATGAAAATATTAAAAGTAATTACATAAATTTTTTTTTATGAAAATACCTTTGGCAGCGACAGTTTGTGTTCACTAAAAATAATTACATAAATAATTTTTAATTTTTTAATTATTTCTTATGAAAATATTTTTTGTGGCAACAAACTGTTTGTGTTAAAAGTTTAATTTTAATTATTTTTTTTAAAAATACTTTTGACAATAATAAATTGTCATCTTTAAAAGTAATTACATAAACTATTTTTTATTTTTTAATTATTTTTTATGAAAAATCTTTTGGCGACAACAAATTGTCACCACTAGAAGTGATTTTTAATGGCGACAATTAAAATCACTGTTAAAGGAGAGCCTTTGGTGAAGTCATTTAAAAGTCACTGTCAAAAGCTTTTTTTTTTTTTTTTGGGTAGTAATTGTATTTTCTAGAATTCAAAATAATGGCAGTGTGTTTGTCACTTTTTGAGTAAAGAAGACTGATAAGCTAATCTACTACGTACCGGCCAGTTTGCTTATCTCAGTAAAGTATATGTTTTGAATGGTCGCTGCGGTCTGGCCCTTGCAGAGAAGACTTGGTAAGTGAAGGTCGTCGTCGCTGGAGCTCTTTAAGTCTTCGGCTTGCCTTACTATGAACCTCTTAAATCGATCTATTTCCCCTTGTAGTTATCTCCTTTCGCCAAAATTTAAATGTATCGACGCAGCCTTACGTTAGCCTTAAGATATATATATGTTCATGAGGAGCCATCAAGCAGACACGTTTCTCAATTCAAAGGTATGATTCTCTTCTTCTTCTCTTTTTCAGCGTTTTCTTATGGTTTACTTCGGTCTTGCTTTTTGTTTTTAAATTTTTTTGTTGTGTGTTCACTTTAATTTCTTCTCGCTCTCGATCAATTTTCCAAATTACATGCTTTGCTCACCAGTTGACTTGGATGATGATTTGGAATATGTATTGTTCTCTTCTCGTTTGTATATATGCATCTTAGGGCGATCGAGTTTGGTTTTCAGGTTAGTAAAATTTTTTTTGTTAAAAGTCCATTATGTTGTCAAAAATTCATTTATGTTTGAATATGTTCTTTATAAAATTAGTTTGGTAAATTAAAAGTTATTTCTATAATATGGAAATAAATTGAAATTAATTCCACTTCATATTTCAAAAGTTAAAGGCTGCTTAAAACTTCGTTTGTAAAATGAACTTTAGTTAAATTAAACTTTCAGATCAACATGATAAATATATAAACAAAATCCCGGTTTAGGTGGCAAGCTAAAAGTTATTTTCAAATAGAAAAAAAAAATCATTGCCTTGTCTTTCTCTTTAAGTGCTTTGCTGAAGGAAAAACAACCTTACCACTAGATCTCATAAATATGCGGTGCATTATACGATTCTATAAAGGATTTTCCTTTTTTTGGGGAAAGCGACCATGTTTTAATAAATGTTTAGAAAATCAGTCAATATAAGATTTAAAATAATTGTAAAGCAATCGCACTATTCGAGACAAAAAAACTATCATACTATTTATAAAAAGAAAAATCACAAGTGGCTCCTTTTATTTTGTTGCGATCCTAAATACGTTTTTGTGGATATTATCATCTATTTGCAAGTTGTCGTTGAGTCAACAAAAGAAGATATATTGTTGGATATTTTTGTCTTTGTATTTTTAACCCCCTCGCAGCGAATAACTTAGTTTCTTTTTGTAATAATATTGTCTTAGTTTCTTTTTGTAATAATGTTGTCTTTCTTGTCTTTTTGTATTTATAAAATAATTAAATATATAATATTTTAATAATTAAAATAAAATATGAAGATTCTTATATAAGAGATCATATTAACATGTCCAATATAGTTTTCTAAAAAAATAATAATAATAAATCTACTTATGTTATTATAATTTTAGTCCTAGTATAATTATTATTTTAAAAAAATTATTAATTTTTAAATTAAATTATCTTGTACCCCTAACTCCAGGTCCTTGCTCCGGCACTATCTGTGCTCATAGGAGATTTGTACCATCCAAATTAAATTTGTAGGGTTGATATTTACTACCTTTAATTTTTAATTTATTTAATATTTAATAAATCATTTTTTTGAATTTCCTTATCACCAATCAAGACAAATATAATTTAGATGTTTCAAATTTAATATTATAATTTTTTATAATTTTTATAAAATGACTATCCAAATTTATTTTGGACAGTCCATATTTAATATAAAAAATTTATAAATTTTTATTTTGTAAATACAATATTAAAAATAAAGATAATCATCTCACTATTAGTTTCCAAAAAATAAAAATTTTAAATTTTAAATTTTAAATCTACATTGTTTAGAATAAATTTGGATAGCCAACTTAAAAAAATATAAAAATTTTAAAACTAAATTTGGACCATCTAGAATTGTGATGAGCATATTTATCAAAAAAATCTATAATTTTTATTTTATAAATATAAAATAATAATATAAATTAAGGGAAAGCACTACTTTTGATCCTTTTAAACTTTGATTTAGTTTTGTTTTAGGTTCCTACATTATTTTTTTTAATATTTTTAAGTCTTTATACTTTTCTCCATCTATAACATTAGTCCCTATAATTTCATAGGAGCATTGACCTGGCACAAACGGTGCTAAAATTGTTGATATATCTACTAACAACATTTATAAGTTTGTGTTGATGTGTTAAATAGGTGCTAAGTTGGACTTTTTAATGAACAAAATAAATTTTAAAAAAGCTACATCAGATAAGAAAATGTTGACATGGAGTTAAAATAAAACTCTCAACTTGAAATATCCATAAAATATATTAAAAAATATTTAAAATATATTTTAATCTTGATTTTTAATCTTTAAGACCTAGAATTGTTTTTTAAAATTGAGTCGTCTACATTTTTTAAGTATCCTAGAAATATATTCTACAATTTTTACAATATAAAAATAACTAATTTTAAAGTAAAAATTATTTTTTATTAGTTCAGGCTTATTCTTCAAGCTAGCTCAAATAAACTTGGCAAGCCTGAACTACTAGTTTTAGTTAGAAGGAGATCAGGTTGAGAGATTTAGGTTCCTCCGTTGCCCTTTTTTTTGAATGCTTCAAGCTTCAACTTGGGACTAGACTTATTCAGGATAACCTCAATAAGCCCAAACTTAAAAAAAAAAAAAAAAGCCAAATAGTCAAACCTAACCAAGATCTGAAATAAAAAAAAAAAATACAGGAACTTATGACAAAATTCAAAAAAGTATTAGGACCAAAAGTAGAGTTCTCTCTAAATTAAAAAATTTAAATCTAAGTTGTCTAGATGAAATTTAAATCTAAATTGTCTAGACCAAAAGTCCTACTCCCAAATTGAGTTTGGTCTCAAGGATTTTTAATCATATATCTAAAATGAATAATTTATAAATATTCAACAATAAATTTAACTTTAATAATACTTGGTAACAACATACCTGAAACCAACAATTAAATTAAAAAGAAAAGTCAATAACTTTCACATTTGTCATAACTTTTAATCATCAGTCTATTATGACTGTTGGTAATAGTAGATTACATTTTGGACCTTGTTGTTTTTTTTACGAGCTCACCATAGACATAGCAAGCTGTTATTGTTTCCTCCTATAAATACAAAACAAGCCTTATTTCAATGGATAGGTTGGTTACATGGATGTTTCCTCTTATAAATAAACTTAAATGAGTAGTATCAAAATTGAGAGAAGGATGCTGAATTCAACTGCAGATTTCACAGATGATTGAGATAACACTACTGGCTCTAAAGGATGACTTGGTTCTGAGACGAAGTATCGTCTGATACCTAAGAATGCCTGATGAAGACATTTCACTATCATTGGGAAAGAGGTGATTGCAACTTTCAATGTAAAGAGACCTCATATGATGGATGAGATGATGCCCAACGATGGAATTAAGATCCAAACATGCAGCACAACCATAAGAAGTCCAAATAGTGGACTAAAGGCTCTGATGATGGAAAGGTAAGGCTCTTTACTTTCAAGTTTAAATTCTATGATCAAAGTCACTACATAGAGGCATAAGTTGACAAAAATGGATGCCATAATGGTCGCATGATGATCATCAAATGGAGATTTCTTTTTGGGTTGGTATTCAACTTAAAGTAAACTCTAAACATAACAATCAAAAACATTATGACAGCATGTAGTCGCTTCTTGTAGGACTTGTATGTAATAAAAGATGAAAAAAGATGGATACCATAGAAGGCATTTAGAAAAGTTTGGTCTTGTGTAATAGAAGTTGAACGAATCTAAATAACCAAACAATAAAACTTGCGGGGATAAGGGAGAGGATAGGATGTTGCAGAGAGTTGGAGAGGCTATTGAGGATTAAGTTGAATTTGTAGGATTCCAAATAACCAAACAACAATAATGAGGGAAGCCTTTAGAGTTTTGGCAAGTTAATTTGTTGGACCCCCATCGTCTATGATCTCTGAAAAAAAGCAGAATGAATAGTACGGTAGAGTCTGAAAGCAAGGGAGAGATGAAAACTGCCCAAGATATGGTTTAGGACAACCGTAAAGGGTATCAAGTGGAACGTGAAAGCAAGGGAGAAAGGATAGAGAATACAGTACCTTTCTATAGTTCTTTGAGTTACTTGTGTTAGAATATTTATTTATTTATGGATTAACATCAATTAATAAGCCTAAATAGATTGGTCTTTATGATCTTGTGTGGACCGTGGTAGGAGGACTACACAAGTGAGCCCAATGGACAGAGGCCCAACCCACAACCTAGTAGCCATCAGTTATTCCCTATCTCTTAACTGACTGAGTTAGAGATAATAAAATATATAATTATTTAATTATTTAATAAGGTAGTTATCGATCTGATTCATATAAGTCGATCAGTCGATAATCGCAAGCACATGATTCATTTTTCTACTGCTCCATTATCTCTGCACTCTCTGAAAACTCTAGGGACCTGTGAATTATGCGTCTATCTGCACTCGAGGTAATCAAGCTTTCTCAAGCACTTATGAATTCTTCAGGAACGCATACACTATTTTACTTATTCATATGAATTGAGATATTCAAATATAACACGTGGTATCAGAGCCTTGATAACGAATTTGAAATTTATATATCTCAATTCTGTTTATGCCTACAAAATCCATTAATACAAATTTATACTCAAATGTTAATAATTCTCCTCATGCATCATTATTATTTAAGATAAGTATGAATATTTGAATATACTCAATAATATTCCCCATGAAATTGACTAAGTGTTGTAGAATTTTATTTGTTATCGGTTCGTTATTCTCTCCTTCCCCTGCATCTTCTTCATGGTCATTGGCATCTCGGCATTCGCTGATCCTGTCTGGCTCTTATCATCGTCCTGAAGTTTAGGACCGTTGGAGAGAGTTGTTGTCTGCTGTGTTTCACGTTGCTGTCGCCATTCTCCTCATTGTGACTCTGCTATCTCTGTGGCTCGTGGCGTCGTCTGGATTAGCGCAGTGAAAAGAGGAGTCATCATAGATAGGGACGACGCTGTCATCTTTGCCTCTAGCCTCGGTCGTCGACATCATCTCCCTGTCTCGTTTTCTAGTTCGACAATCGCTACCTATAGCGCTGTCATAGCGACGTAGTCCTCCCCTTCTTCCTCGTCCCCATACACGGCTGGAAAGACCTAGGGATAGGGTTTGGAATTGAATCCTAGGGATCCAGTTCCATGGATTTTGGGCCCATTTTCATATGAGCCCAGATCTTTGATTAAAAAAGGGATGGAGGCACGAATCGGGTTAGAAACTAGATCCTAGGGATCCAATTTCATAAAGTACTGGGCCCAAATTTTAGTTGGGCCCAGACCTGATTTTAAATATATATATATATATATATTTATTAATTATGTTTTGGTCCCAATTTAAATTACATCACTCGGCCCATAATTTTTAGGATTTACGTTGTGACCCCTGGATATTTCTAGAAATTATAGTTTAATCCCTTAACTTTTAGAATTATGTTTTGGACCCAAATCTCTTCCAGAATTACCTATTTACCTGTGGACACCTTTCAAAATTTTACTTAAGTCCTAAATTTGTTCCTTAATTTCCAAAAGCCCCCAAGGACTTTGAAATTATTTTGTTTTGTCCTAAGGTCATAAAATTTGTGACTTTGTGAGTTATTGATGATGCTTAGGATCTTATAGCATTGATAATGGACATAGCCCATAGGTGTGACATTATTAATGTAATTTTAATGATTGGTTTTGAGAATAGGCTAATAACACTCCTTTAATGTGTTAGATATTTGTTATACCCTATAGGTATGGAAATGTTTAATGCATTATTTTGTATGGACTTTTGTATGAGCTAAATCTTTATGGTATTTGAGCCTTTTTTGGTGCATGATTATAGTTGTATAATTAATAATCGCTTGTTGGGGAATTCTGTTTTATAATTATGTTGTGCACGCATAATTAATATTTTTTATTTTCTATTTTGCGATTTTAGTTTCTGCTTTTATGCAACTATCCTTTGTAAAGGCTCTTAATGGGACTAACTATGATGACTGGAAAGAGTTCCTAAATATGTATCTGACCATCTCTGAGAAAGATTTAGCTTTGAGAGATCCCAAGCCTACGAATCTCTTGTCTGAGTCCAGTGCTTCTGAAATGGTCTTCCATAAAAAATAGAGTGAGTCCAACTGACTCTGTTTGGCGATCATCAAGTACACAATTGAAAAGGAAGTTAGGGACAGCATTCCTAAAAAGGATACTGCAGTGGAATATAATATTTGAAAGCTGTTGGCAACAAATATAAGAAGCTTGACAAGACTTAAAAAAACTATTATTTATCACTTCTTAACAATACTCGATGTGACAGAGTTTCTGGTGTCAGGGAGCATATTCCGAAGCTTGTTCATTACTACAACAAGCTTAAGTCATATGGGATTGATTTGGATGAAAGTGCCTTAGTTTATCATGTTCTTCAATCATTTCCATTGAAGTACGCATTTTTGATAACTTCAACTTGTTGATTGAAGCTAGGTACAGTGGGCTCAAACTCTGCTGTAGGGGGATCGTGGGCTTCTATTGGAGGTCTGTTAATCAGCTTGCTGGAATGGGGTCCTTGGCCAAATTCTTGAACACTACCATGAGGATGGCATATTAGCATGGGCTAAGGTTGTTGAAAATGAGTGATTTATGATTAGAGCAGGCGATGACAAAATTGCAAGAATAGTGGAAGAGGTTTCCTAAGGATGTCGGAGCTGAATGTGAGGGGGTCGTCAAAGGCTGTGAGTCTCTAGCGGTGTGCTTGAACACCACTGTGAGGATCAAAAAAGGGTTGAAGTCAGGAATGATGAATATAGATTTGTGGTGGGGGTAGATGATCATAGTTAACTTGCTGGGGTAGAGGGATCAGAGGTCTCCGGTGGATGAAGGAGCTGGGTGTAAGGGGCTTGAACTCCGCTACAGGGGGTCGGCTTTCGTGGCATGAGCAGGTCCCTGGCAGATTGCTTGAACATGGCCATGAGTTGTTGGAAATGAAGGATTTCTGGTTAGAGTAGATGATGATAAACTTGCAGGGGTAGATGTGGAGGTGTCATAAGGATGTCGGAGCTGGGTGCAGTGGGCTAGAACTCCCACACAAGGTAGTCGATGGCTTGAATACTGGTGTGAGGGTGAAGCATTGACATGGATTGAAGTTTTTAGAAATGAAGGATTGGTGATCGGAGCAAATGATGGAATGTTAGGGAGGGAGGAGATGGAGAGAGGAAAGCTTGAGAGTGGAAGAGATGAGAGATGAGTTTGAAGAATTGAAGGATGAGGTGGTAGTGAAGATGATGGAAATGAAGGAAAATTGAGAGGTGATAAATAGGTGAGAATGAATGAATAGCTCACCAAAGCAAAGACGAGCGGAACCAGCATTAATATTGTGGCTCACTGAAAGATGCAACTTAGTTTCGAAGCAAACATGCATTTACTCTTTAAAGGTTGTTATTAGTCAACCAAGATATTGAGGGATACATGTGGCTCACTTTTTTTCCTTGAGGAATATAACTCAAAACGAGCAGATCAATCAAGCTTAGGGAAGCATACCGATTACTTCTATGTTGATGAATATTTATGATGGTAGCACACAACCTGCCCACTATTATATTTAGGGAGAATAACAATTAAGGACCTTCTAAGAATATTAATCTCAATTACGGACCATGAAATTTTAAAATCCTAGTTAAGGACCATGGTCCTTAATTATGATAAAAAAATGTAATTTGTGAGGTGGGATTCAATAACGTGACTTGGGGATTCACTAACCTAGCTTGAGAAAATTACTAACGTATATTGTGAAAACATGAAACCCTACTTGGAAATAGATTATTTAACAAAAAGCTCCACTTGAAAATTCACTAATCTGACTTGAAAAAATTTCTATCGTATATTGTGAAAATATAAAACTCCACTTGAAAATCAATGTTTAATAAAAAGCGCCACTTGAAAATTCACTAACTAGATTTGAAAAAATTTCTAACGTATATTGTAAAAAAATGAAATCCTACTTGAAAATCAATTGTTTAATAAAAAGTGACTTCTCCAAATTGATGTTTTTTATTAAACAATCGATTCCCAAGTAGGATTTCATATTTTCACGATATACGTTAGAAATTTTTTCAAGTCGAGTTAATGAATTTTGAAGTGGCACTTTTTGTTAAATGTTTTCACAATATACGTTACAAATTTTCTCAAGTTGGGTTAGTAAATTCTCAAGTGACAATAGTGAATTCCACCTCACAAACTACATTTTTTTATCACAATTAAAGACCAGAATTTCAAAATTTCATGATCCATAATTGGAATTAATATTTTTAGAAGGTTTTTAATTGTCATTCTCCCTTATATTTATTGTCACATTGTGTTTTTTGTATTTTTCTAGTTATCACAAACTCATCGACGCCAACTTCATGGCAGCTTCACTTCTTGGTTTTGTTTTTTTTTTTTTTTTCAACTGACTTTAATATTCTGACCCTTAAGCTTCAATATTGCGTTCGTTTGTTCCTCCAATGGAAATAGCCCTTTCGTGCAATCTGAAATTCAATTAAATTGTGAGACAGAACAGAAATTAAAAAAGAATATGTGCCAAGTAGTGTGTGCCACGGTGCCTCCATCCCTTTTCACTATTGCTTCATAATTTTATTTCTTTTATATTTCCAAGAGACACTTTTAAAATTTATAAAAATTTTGATTTAATACCATGTTTTCATTTTCATTAAATGTTTCGTGAAAATTCTATATGTATAAAAGTTAGTTAGAAGACATAACCTAATTATATAAATTGAGTTATAAAAATTATGTAATTAATTCTAAAATTAATGCCTAATCTTTTAATAAAAATATAAGAGTCTCGGATGTTCCAGCTCCTTCTTGCTCTGGATAACTAGCTGAGTCGCTTTCAGGGCGATTCTCTTTTCTTAACTAGATGTGTTGGGGAATTGTTAATTAATTTATCTTCCTCAAAAAAGGAAAAAAAAAAAAAGGTTGGTAAAGGCCTTGATTTTTGAAAAATTTCATATCTTTCCTATTATACTATAATAAATATAATATTTAACTTATTTAAAGTATTTTTATTGTGTCCTTGCATTCACATTCTACACTGTTCTGATCTTTATGGGAAATAGGGATCCAACAAATTATAGAGCCTTAATTCTACGTGCACACCGCAGAGCAAAACAAATGGTTGGTAATTTTGCTTAACAAATTTCAAACAATGCAAGTTCTGGTACTCATATATAAAATAAAGGAGAGCTTATATAAATTGAGTTATAAAAATTATGTAATTAATTTTAAAATTAATATATAATGTTTAAATAAAAATATTAGAGTTGCTAATTTCATTTTTTAAAAGAAAAATTCAAAGATATTAACTTTCAGGGATTAACCAGAATATTTAATTATTCAAACTATAAAGACTTAATTAAAACAAAATAATTTGTAATAACCCAACAGTTTTGAACAAAAAATTAAAAGCATGTTATTGTGTATTGATTTTGAAACAATTATGACAAAAGGGAGTTATCGCATACTAAAATTATCAAAATGTCATCAGCCTATCAGATATAATTTTTTCTTCTTCCGTTTTGCTGAAGCGTCTTTCTGCATGAGAGAGAGAGAGAGGGAGGGAGGGAGGGAAAAGTCTGACACCTCCGGTGCAATCTCTGTCGTCGTTTCTTCTGCCATCTCCAGACCTCTGATCTTTCTTCTTCATCCCTTGCTATCGCCGACGAGAGAGACGAGTTGCTGTGAGGTCGCCATCGCTGTGTGATGCCCAGGTTCTTCATCGTGCTTCTCTGTCTCTGCTTGTTTTCTCCATTGCTGCTCTGTTTTTGCTGTTCTCGTGCGCGTGGCTGGTGTGCGTGAGAGTCAGGTCGCCAGCGTTGCAAACGTGTGCTGTGATCGTCCACTGCTAGTAGTCCCAGTCGTGAATCCATGGTTCTTCACTCTCCCGTCGATCTCTGCCTTTTCTTCACTGTTTGTGCTGTTGAAGTTTCTTCTTCCTCCTTCATCCTTCCCATTCGTAAGTGATAAGTGAATGAAGGGCTGGTCTGATGCTGTGGGAGGATTGATTCTTGGATAGGAGGCTAGTTTAATGTTGTTATTTTGTCCCCCTGTTCAGCTGTGATTTCATCTTCTTCTGCCCATTTGTGCTACGTTGGTGCATCTAAAGTGAGCAATTTTGATCTCCATTTTCTTTTCTTTATTGAATCTGTGAGTGTGTGATGTTATAGAGTTGAATGGCAAAATTTTCTTTTGTGTTTTGTTGATGCTTGTGGCTGTTTGTTCAAATATGAAGGGGAGGCTTGAATCCCAAATAAATAAATAAATAAATAAATGAAATGAAAAGGATGATATAGATTTGAGATTTAATTGAGTTTGATTTGATTATTGACTATAATACTGACCTTATGAAATCTTTGGAAGTGAAATTGATGAGGAAGAAGTTGGTATTTGTTTAAGATATAATGCCCATAAAGTGTTTGATAAAATGTTAATTAGGAGAGTTTTGTTTGAAATTATAATTATTAAAATTTTCATTAAACTACTTGAAAGACATAATTGGTTGGGATGCTATTATCTTATGAATTTAGTTTGAAATTTTTGCTATTATCTTATGAATTTAGTTTGAAATTTTCAAAAGGAGATACTTGAATAGGAATTTTTTTATAACTTTGTTGGATCTCACAAAAAACATGAATTGGTTTGGGTGTTGCTTATTTGCAAATTTGAATCAAATATTGCAAAAAATTTATTTATGTTCTTGAGAGATTAAGTGAATTCTTGAAAGTTTTATGGTTATTAATTTATAAAGTGTAGTGTTATCTTATGATTTAATTTTGGGATTGAATTAGAAGTGGAAAGAAATCTTTATAATTATAGGAATTTAATTAAACTACATTATCTTATATTCTTATAGGAGGTGTGGAAGAATAAGATTTTGATAGGAACTAAAAGGGAGAAAATCTTTAAAAATTTGGGAACACTGCAGATAAGTGAATAACATCTTAATCAATATATATTAGAAATTTTTCTTTATCAAAAGATTTTTTAATAATTTATGGATATTTATATATATCTCTTGCTTTAGCTATTTTTGTTAATTAAATTGCTTAGCTTCTTGAAGTCATGACTTATACATTTTATATGGATAAAAATGCTTTTATAAATTCTAATAGTCCTTTATTTGATAAAGCCAACTATAAAAAATTGTTAACTATTTATGAGATATTAATTGTGAATTCTCATATTTAGAAATAATGATGCTTTTATACATTTTTTATGTGAGTTAGACATTAAAAGAGAAATTATATTTTGAAAATGATAATTTTCTTGCATGTCTAAAAATGAATTTAAAAAGGGACTGTCTATAGAATGCTAGCTACTAATGGCAGTTCTGTTAGCCTTTGACATGCCATAGTCAGTTCCTACCTAGTTTGATTTTCGTGAGTCCTGTTCTCACATCTGTTATTCGTGGGTCTCATGCATGTGTCTGTTTCGTGGCTTTGACCATATCTTGTTAGTTACTCTTGTGGATTGTGTGTTCAAATTTATTTTTTAGCTTTGGTTGCATTTGGCTACTTTTTCTTGTGAACTGTGTATCCACGTTTGTTTTTGTGGCATAAGCTGCATTTAATTATTTACCCTTGTAGATTATGTGTCCATATTTGTTACTTGTACTACTAAGTCCCTATACTTATGAGTTTTTTAATTTTTATATATCTATTTTTTTATTGGTTTTGATTAGTGACATATTTACAATTATTTATTGCAATTATTTGCTTTATTGATGTTAAATGATAATGACATTTGATACGATACTTTAATGAATTATGATTTTATTTAAAGTTACATAGAATCCATTTTATTTTGAATTTATATAAATCTTCATGTAGATTGTTGTGTTTTTAATTTTTCTTTTATTCATATTTAATTATTTATTATTAGGACATTATTCACTGGAGAATAATTTTTAATCTCAGATAGTGTGACTGACGCTGAACCACCCACTAAACATTGAGGAGTTTATGATAGATTAGAAGTGAAAGAGCTAAGGATTAAACTTTCTCTTGATGTAAAGTTTTAATTATAAAATTTTATTTTGTATACTTATTATTAGGTTCTCTACATAGTCTATAGTTATGTTGTTTATATAGTTATATATTTTGTCTGTTGCTTGAAAGGAGCTTTGGTCCTAATTGGCTTGATATTTTTGGTTGAAACATTGTCTTATAGAATTTTTGGGAGATCTTATTTATAGAGGAAGTTCTGCCAAAATTTTTACAAAATTGTTGAAACTTTTATTAATACCAGAAATGTTTACACATGTTCTAATTCAAACTAAAACATAATTATGCTTAGTCATAGAAAGATTACCCAATTTCAGGCTTAAGGGATGTGTGATGGATCACATCCTTTGCTAGTCACCCTTTATTTTTGGACTGTGACATAATTTATAAGGACCTAATTCAAAATCAAGAGAAACTAGACGGACTAGTAGATTATGACACAGCTACTTTCGATGAGGTGGTTAGAAGTTCTTTATAATAGAGACGGGGAAGTATACACAAAGTTGAGTCAACTAACAAAATACTCCCTCCAAATCATAGTATAAGTTATTGTTAACTAATTTATGTTTCTTAAAAAAAGTTGGTTAAAATCTTAATTTTTTAAAAATTTTTACAACTTTTCAAGTGTCCTATTGATTGTAATAAATATAACATTTGGTTTATTCACAAGGTTGTTAAACTTATAAGTTTAAGTAAACTCATGACAGGAAAGTAAACTTATATTATAAACTCAGATCGTAAATTCATAAGAGTTTATCTCTATAAATAAATAGCCATTAAAATATGATTGTAATTTAATTTAAATATTTTAAAAATATAAATCATTAAAGTTAAACTCATAAGAGTTTACATTGATAAATTATCATATACAAGACATATTTTTGGTTTTTTATTTTTTTGTTAATATTAGTTTTTGCATTTCAAGTTTTTTTTCCCTTAAACTAGGTCTTATAACTTTTATAAATTGAATTCTCCATGACATATACTTAACTCACTCAACTCAAAAAAAAAAATGATGAATTAATAAGTTTAACTAAGCTTGCATCTAGTCTGAGTTTATGAGTGAATTGACATGTTTTTATAAGTTAGAAACATAAAAACAATAAACTCAGAGGTAAACTCATAAGTTTAACCAAGTTTGTATTTAGTCTGAGTTTATGAGTGAGTTAACATAATTTTATAAGCTAAAAACGTAAAATCATTAAATTTATAGAACCAACTTAAGAGTTTGACAACTATGTTTATTCAAAACACTCTCATTGTGTACTTGCTTTCACATTCTACACTGTTCTGTTCCTTATGGGAAACGGGAAATAGGGATCCGACAAATTACAGAGCCTTATACGCAATTTTGATTTTATACAATTCAAGTTCTGGTACTCATATAAAATAAAGAAATTCATTTATGTTTGAATATATTTTTTTAAAAATTCTATTGGTAAATT